AATGCTTCTTTGTTTTTACAGTAGCAGCATTATGTAATAAAACTTGAGTCAAACCTTCATGCGTATTTCATCTGTCTAGCAGTGGCGTGAGGTGCAAGTGTGACCTTTTAAATGTTAATACCCACATTGTTTATAACTGGAAAATGTGTCGCATGTGATAATGATAAATAATGATAATGATTATTCATCTGAGCTACTACTGTACACACACACACAGTAGAAGGCCCGTGAGAGTAAATGATAAGGGAATTGAAAAGTCCAAATGAATGCCACAGAAAGGAGTGGACCAAGCAGCCTTAAGCTTCATTCACACATGCAGTTTAATCCCTGAAATGTTTCGGAACATTTCCTGCATTGGATGTAAAAATGGGAAATCTGAACTGCCAGTTTCCCACCTCAAGGCCTGCTGTGCATTCCAACACCCATACTATCATACTGTTTAGCATACCAGAAAAACATTATGAGTATATCCCAGTTTGTAATGTGCCAAATACATTATGCCGAAAATACCAGGATGTTCTACTGCATCTGGTTGCATTTTGCAGTATGCAAACCAGCATGCTTTTCTGGTTATTCTGACCCACAATCCTCTGCAGCGAAAGATACATCACTTTGAAGAAGCCGCAATGACATATGACAAAGAATTCAAGTGGCTGGGGCGTCGGTGGCTTTGAGAAGGCGCCCCATGTACAAGGCTGTTGCCACAGCAGCCCAGGTTCGAGAGTCCAGCCTGTGGCCCTTTGCTGCATGTCTCTCCCTCTCTCTCTCCCCCCTTCACACTTCACTGTCCTGTCAATTAAAGGCAAAAAATGCCCTAAAAAATATCTTTAAAGAATTCAAGTGGCTGATGACCAGACTAATAGTAATAATAGGAACATTCATTGTTTAAGTGAACTAAATAATCATAAAGCATACTGACAACCAAAAATTAAAATATCAATAACAGAGAAATGCATTTGTAATTTTACCGTTGTGGATATGTTAGAATCTAAAACGTATGGTGTTATGACTTCAAACTTAACTACATATATTGCAGGGTGTCAACAGCAGAGCTCTCCAGGTCTCGGGCAAGCTGGACAAATGGAGTCTTATTTTATCTTCAAGGGTAGCCTATATGAGCAAGAGGGTGAAAGGTCATAGTGCAAATATGACAAAGTAGTATGTCCCGACTGTGTGCATACTGAATGCAAAAGTAAGTACTTTAAAAGGACAGCTGCAGTAAAAGTAAAAAGTATGCAATTCTGAACGCAGCCGCAGTAACATTTCAGGGAAAATGCCGATTCGCCTGTGTTGTGAATGGAAGCTGCAACGTTGCAGAGACAAGTATTTAAAGGGTTACCTCCATCTGACAAAAAAGAATTTGATGTAAAGTGTGCACCCCAATCACAAGACTCTGCTGATGATGTATTTGAATTTGTGACTTGTTAATGGTTTAGTATTGACACAAATACTTTTGCTGGTGATCTGATAGTGAACAATCAATACAAGTTCTGTTTGCAAACAAGCTCCTTTTTGCACCACAAAAAAACAGCTCCTTATCTGCTATGTTCTTGAAAATAATAACAGACATCTTCCACCACATACATGTTTATCCAGCCTCACCCCATCTTCTCCTCTTTCTGGTGAGTTTTATGGCTGTTGGCATCCATAAGTGTTGCATTACCACCATCTGCTGGACCGTACCTTGCTCTGTCTTTTCCACCATTACCATGGCATGTGTGAAAAGCATGGAATGGGTTTGTGGACTGCCGTTTGGCAGCCTCAAGTTCGGTATTTTGGCTGTTGCAATCTTGGTTTCTGGAGCCTGAAGTGACTGTATTTGGACAAGAGGATGAAGCTGTGGAGGAGCAAGGAGTAGATCTGACTCGCATACTGCAGCAACCAGTAGCGACGCCTTGCAGAAAGTCTGTCAATCAAGCAGCCCCACTTTTGAATATGCTTAAGTTTGGGCCTTAATAAAATGTAAACAGATGTGTGTCTGTGTCATGACCAGGTGACTCATCAGGATCACACATTATTAGAATCAGGTTCATGGCATCACAGAGAAGACAGATTTAAAAAACAGTAAGAGCAGTAGAGGCTGAGATATCTGATCTTTAAGTCCCTTGTATAAGACAAGCTCCACACCTCCAGTTTGTCCCACAGGCTTTTATAAATTTATAGTCTCCAAGCTCAAGCCAAGATAAGACTTATGACATCACCATGATGTCATCAGGGTTATTTAAGGACCACTCCTTCCTGAGTCACAGAACATTGGTTTCATAAGCTGAGTAGCACTCTCCATGATAGTCAAATAGTATTCAGAATACAAAACAGCTGTATACAACATTTTCTTTCTTTGAAGACTTAAAATCAAATGTAGTGTGATGCATTAAATCAGTTCCATGTGCCAGCTTGTTGTGGATCTGAACTTAACCAATAATTGACCAGCCAATAATTTAAGATTTGGGGTTGGCTTCTAACATGGCCCATCAGATCTCAGGGCTGGGCAGAGCCTCCCCTAACCCTGGACACACCCCTGAGTTTAAACAAAAACAAAACAAGCAGAAAATCTTGGAGCTATTATGATCATATGTAGGGTGTGTGGGTAAAAACAGTGGTAGTGTTTAACATAAATATCAAGTTAATTTTAAATGAAGGAAAGATGGGTGAGTATGGACTTTCTTATTATTCATATTGACAATAATACTATGGAGGGTGACATACACATATCATTGTTGTAGCTACTATCATACCACCATCTCCACTTTGTAAAACAAGCTAGCTTGCTGAGCACCCCACCCAATACTTGCCAGCTGACTGGTGATCTCTCTCCAGTCAGATACCAGGGACCTGTATCATGAAGCAGGATTAATGTCTTAGCGAGGTAACTTCAGAGTTAACCCTGGGTTTTCGGTCTCTCGAAGCCGGTTCAGTTCTTATCGGGGTAGATCACCATGGTAACTTACTCTGAACGGCTATCCTGCTCTGGAGCAGGTTAAGTTCAGGGTTGAATCTGATCCTATAAAAAGCACCACAGAAATGCAGCCCAGTCATGACGGGAAGTTTAATTCATTTGATTGATTTTGATTTTAAAGTTTATTTTGAACATTTAAAAAGAAAAGAAAGCAACAACAACAGACAATGAAAAGATTGTTCAAAAAGGAGTGGAAAGAAATCGAAATTTCATCCCACTCCTTCATAAGAAAGAAACTGATCATTTGCGGACACTTAATAGCACCATTAATTAGTGCCAACATTTTGTTTTGTTGGAGGAAATGATCCCTGTTAAAGAAAATGGGCCTAATTGACAGCTTTGCTGCTGGAAATGTGGAAAGTAGCATATCATGTCTACACTTCATGGTGTTTGAGGGATTTTCCTTTTTGTTTTTTAAAGAGAGAGACTAGGTATATTTTTGTTAATAATGTTAATTTCTAACACAGCTCAATATCAGGATGATTTTATTCAGACTATCAATTTGGTGCTGATATGATTTAATTGTGGCGTCAGCTTTAAGCTTTATTGTAGCATATATAACGTTATGACAAAGAAGACCAATTTATCAGACGCAGTGACGTTAGACGATAATTGTAATACACGCAATTCATCTGCGCAGCATTGATTTCATGGGATTCAAGGGTGTGATCAGTGTCAGATGTACAGGTACAGGTACTGTAGATACTTGAACCAGTGATGAATAATTTAGCCTACACATAATTTTATTTGCTACCTTGTTTTGTCTTGATTTTTCCCTCTCTCCTCTATTTCTTCTTTCCTGACCCGTTTTTTTCTTTTCTATTATGTGATTTCATTGATGTTTTGAAAGGGGAATTTCTTTGATAAGCTTTTAGTGGCTTCTAACCTCTCTGGCACTTTTCTTTTTTTTAATCTTGTAAATGTTATACTGTCTGTTTTTAACATTATGTGCAAATAAACTAATCTAAACTAAAACTAAACATTATTCATCCCGTTATGCGTTGCCACGCATGTTTCCTCCTCCTGCAGCTGCCACGGTGTTGGCCTTTTCTCTAATGTTGCTTTTCTCCTCCTCATATTTTAGTAAAATTAATTTCTGATCCTCACGAGAAATACTTTTTTTCCCTCACATACGGCGCTCTGTGAGGACGCTCAGTGACGCTGCGCTTCTCTCATGATTGTGATTGGTCCGCTGCGTGCGCGTTCACAGCTCTTGATAAAGCAACTCTGGGTTGAGTTACCGAGTTGATATCCAGCGTCGTGATACAGATTATCCTGATTGCCATTGTTAGGGTTAGTCAACCCAGGATAGGTCTGGGTAACCCAGGAAAGGTTGATCTCGCTTCGTGATACAGGCCCCAGCTTACTTAGGTTTTTGTGGTGAAATGAGGCGGTATCATGTAAATAACTCTTTATTTCAACCTCATGAATCAGACATTCCTCGTCAATTGCAGCGCTTTCACTTCGAGCAACAGGTATAAAAGAGAAACGGGGCCACCGACAAAAGTTCGCTCTAAACGGCGCGCGATATCGCGCGACGTCGCGCAGCGTCGCTCGCGGGCAGTATGGACAATCCAATAGGAAACAATGCAATCAAACTGCTGACGCTCCCTCGCGTCGCATCCAGGTAGGACACGGTGTGGATACGGTATGAGAGGGACACCAGAGGACTGTACCACGACGGAGACAGGCTGTCTTTGCCTGAGCTGGCTCGACAAACCCTAAAGTCTCAGTCAGAGGTAACGGGTGCCATGAAGGTGGTTATGGACTTGCTATAACTAATAACGCGCTAAACGGTTTCGTTTAGAAGAATATTAAAAACGTATTATAGTATATGTATATTAATACTGTATATATGTATAGTATATGCATATTTCCTTTCATGGCTATTGCAATTATTATAACTATTGATATTATCATTTATTATCTAAACTTTTATGCTGTTAGTTGTTTTGCCTACTCACCTACCTCTTGACATATTTTGGTGTGTATCTGTATGCATGTGGGTTTGTGTGTGTCAGAATGTGTTTTCCCGTTTTATGTCGGCCTATGACATCATTTGTGGAGATATATATGTCTGTGTGTATTGCATATGTGTATATATTATGGTACTTGTTAGGGAAAGCTAATTAACATGCTAACGGCCAGAGGGAGGCAAACCCGATAACGAGAAGATATTCTGGGTAAGTTGAACTGGCTTCGTAGTACAGGGCTCCAATGGACCAAAGAAAACTACAAACACATTCAGTAGTTCGGTAAGAGCAAGAACAACCTTGTGACTAAAACAAAACACATGCACATATTTTCTTCATCACTGATGTACTGTAGGTTCCTGTGTAAAAAATAAAATAAAATAAATAAGAGCTATGCATACAGTAAGCACTACTGTAATTGCACAGCTTTGTTTGGTGGCATTTATGTAATGTTACGGCTCAGCAAGTTCGATAAATTGCATTTATAACATATTCCCTGAGCTGTCAGTCTGTATTGCTTATATATGCACAGTGATTATAGAGTGACTTTACTCAAAGGAGCAGTAAAAGGTGCTTTTTAGCCAACTAGGCCAAAATTCAGAACAAAAACTGGTCTCGACTGGGTTTGTCTGCAGCGTAACTTACCATAAAAGAGAGCCACCTTCATAGGATTGAAAGCCCTGGCTTTGGACTCAAGATACCTCATCGACTCATTCATCTTGCTTCGTGGTACACCCCTCTGATAGCTGCTGGAACTGATGCAAAATAGGACACTTGGTGGCAACATCTGGCAGAAACCAAAAAGCTGTGTGTCCTGGGTCGACAGAGGTTAGTTTGAACACTTTGGTCACCTTCACCTCTGGTACAACAAACAGAAGAGATTCCTCCTAATCATTCACAACCACTGTGGAGGTCTGTGTGTTTAATCTGATTAACGTGAGCCAGGGCATTTGATACTGAGAAGTCAGGAGCTGGTCAGATCCTGTTGCATGTTATACGTTGTGTTATATAATGTCAACACCCACAAATAATGTGGGAGCAATGGAAGCTTATTTGGTTTAGCTGTTTTTATTTGTGTGTGATTTTCTTTTTGTGTGCACATGGTATAGATGACAGATGTACCATATACACTTTATGAGACAAGCATGCAGGTTTTGATTTGATAAAATAGGTCTGTACATTTATGTAAATGTGCTTTTTTTTAAATTAATAAATCAATTATATGGTTAAGTAAAGGTTCCCTAGGACAGCACAGACCTCCACCAAGACAAAAGTGAAAAGTAATTGGTAATTGTGCATCGACCCTGTGATTCAGATCCGCTTAAAAATTTAATATGTTCTTTCCTCCTGCCTGTGCGTCCCCCTTCCACCACACCTCCACAAGTTTCATGAAAATTGGGCCAGCAGTGTTCCCTAATCCTGCTGACAAACAAACAAACCAAGCCAAAAACATCACCTCCTTGAAGGAGATAAAATAAGCAACTTGACTGTGGAACAAAAAACAACTGAGTCATCCTACATCAGGCCAAACACATAACCTGCTGACTACTGAAAAACTCTTTCCAGGATTAACACACAAACATACACGTACAAAGTTCAACACAGCGTACCCCATTAGGTTAAAATGTGACTGGACATTGGTGTACACTTTATGTTGGCTTGGAGTGGAGGTCGAAGGCATTACAGTTTAAACCGACAGGATATATACAGGCAGGAGGAACGTCACACCACAACACAGACTGAAGCCATGAGTGTCATCAACATTGTATGTGTGGCTTCAGTACATACCAAGGCTTAGCTTTCAATTTGATCATTTTAACCTTCTCATCTATTTCAAACACTTTAAATACTTAATTTCCTTTTGAAAGCACATTTGTATTTTAGCTTTTTTAAACCTGAAAATGTTGTATGCACTTTCTGTTATTTCACATGCAGGGTCCAGACCCGTCTCTGGCATATCGGCCAAATTTGGAGAAGAATGCAACCAAAGAGAAAGAAGACTACAGAAACTTTGAGGTAAGCATTCAAATCTCCTTATTGGCTCATTCATTCATGGCCAAAGTGGTGAATTCAGTGATGAGGAACACACTATTACAATCATGGGAAAGTTACAGATATGAGAAAACACTACTGGCCAAAAAAGAGCAAAAAAATTTAAAGCGTTTTTAAAAGGATACAACTGTTAACTCGGGTTTGAGACTCTGTCTGAGAGGGAAGTGTAACTTATTATCTGCTAATGAGATGGGAAAAGGAGGAAGGAATTTGACTTGCAATTAAATGCAATAAGTATCAGAGACACTGCATCTCAGGAGGTGATCTATGATTACTTCTCCCAGTTCTCTCAGACATAATAAGCGGGGTAGAGCAGGGATGCTGTGTCTGTTTTAATCAGCAGAATATTATCCCTTATTTACCTTGTAGACCTGTGATTTACTTAGACATGTTTGAACAGTGTGCATAAAAAAACACGTTGTTTTTAAAACATTTCTGAGTCCATCTATTAGTAAGTAAAGCAGAAATTGGTGAACCAGTACTTTTGGCTGACACAGGAACTTAATCTGTAATCTGTCATTTTCACTGAGCATGTGTTTACTTCCTATTTTCCTTTATTCTGATAATAATCTGTAGTCAATAAATATATTACAATCCAGTTTGTTTTCACACATATTATGGCCTATTTTTCCTCTAATAATGTATAGCTCTGGTATTGGTAGGTTGATTTTTTATGAATGTGTTTTGATCTTGTATATTGTGAACGTAATTTATTATGTGGATGTCCTGTGTATCATCAGCTGACAGCATTACATGCATACATTAGTTATTGTTAGTATGTAGTTTGACCAGCCTTGTTCCAATTGGAATATTCATAGGATGACATCCTGCTTACTAGATATGTATTTTCTTGTTGTATTTTGTGCTATTTGGGCCAGGCCCACAGTCTCCAGTGGCACACTGCAGGTGATCCACTTACATTTTTGTATATTTTTTATATTTTTTGTACTTTATACCTATTACTCATTATGTCTTGATGAGGTAGATTAGATACTAGTCTGGCTACTGTCTTACATGACACTGGACTTTGAAAGAAAGATGTTTGTTTCCTGTATTATTCCATAGCTGGGTATCAGCATGTGCACATGTTTGTCATCTGGCATGATTTAATATGTTCAACATGGAACCCATTTGGTCTTGTGGATAGGTGACTCGTCTTTTTTATCTTTTTCTGTCCTTTTTGGTCTTGTAATTCAAGGATACTTATTTAATTGTTTACTGGTATTGTTTGATCATTGTATTGTGATTATTGCTTGTTTGGCTGATATAGCCATTATATAAGATTTACCTTTAGAGGAATTCCACTTTTTTCATGTCATTATTTTGTTTGTATCTGGATGTTTACATATGTATTTATACTTGATATGTTCTTTTTTTTTTTATGATCAGTCACTGTTGAGATAGTTTTTGACGTACTAAGGATAGTCATCTGATTATTTTAATTTTAATTTAATTGGATTGTAGGCTCAGCATACCTATTGGCCACTCTTTGTATTGTCTTTAAATCTTGATCTGTGGATCTATGGATCAGATTGGATGATTGACTGATTCATGCCAGCTGGAGTGATTCAGCAAGGTCCTGGCTGTTAGATATGAGGGCTATACCCACTTTGTGCATTAACGCTGAGGAAAGCCAAGTGCTGAAACGCGTCCGTTTGTGATACTGCTGTGCGTTATTAAAAGACTGATATATATGATATTTGTGAGTGCTGACATTTGGATTTATTTAGTTTGTGAGTTTTGGGTCGGCACCCTGTGATTTTTCAAACGGTGAGTTGAGCACGTCAATTCTTTTGTTTTTGCTCCATATAGTTACCTTACATTGTGCAGCTTTAAGGGATATATTGCTGTTGAAAACGACTAGTTAAATATTGCAGAGGTGGGTCAGTGTGAATGTTACCAGAATTTAAAAAACAAAAAAACTACATTTGTTGCCATGTAGCAGCTAAAATGTTCACATTGTTTTATGGTGAAGGTGGGTGTAGTCAGACGTGTCATTATTTATATACTTTAAGCCATAGAGGTTGTCGCAGAAATACATTCCTGCCATGAAAGGTTTCATGTTGAGTCACTCAACTGTGTGTGTGTGTGTGTGTGTGTGTGTGTGTGTGTGTGTGTGTGTGTGTGTGTGTGTGTGTGTTTTAGAGTGGAAGTCTAATTGACCGTGTGTTCAAAACATACGACCTGATGCACACCAATCAGACGCTAAAGTATGTGAAACAAAAGGTGAGTAAATCAGGAACAAAAACACAAAGTAAAAAGCCTTTTTATTGAGATATTAAGGAATTAAATGTGATGGTGCATCAAAATGTTTTTTTCCTCCATGACAAGAATCAGTAATGCTGTTTTATGTAATTTGTCCTGCACTGATTTTGAGGATTTTGTTTTGCTCTGGGTGACCGAGTGATCCTGTCAGACTGAGCAAACAAACGTCATCCAGTTCCAAGTTTTAAGCCAAACGCTCGGGGCCAATAGATGTTCTATCTAGACTAAGTGTTTGATTAACCTCTTTTTGACTTCTTCCAAAGGTTACAATGAGACACTTCCCTGTTTCATTGACCTGACCCAGCTACAGACACTTCCCATGACCGATAATTTGAGATTAAATGCAGACAAACCTGATCTGCAGACATCCCTGAAAATTCGGCAGAAACCAGTATTTTGAAAAAGTATTTTTTTTTCCTTTGCCATAACCCTTGTGACTCTTACCTTGCTACAGCATTCTGAATGGAGCGGCTGCAACCACACTCAGATGACCATGATGGACGCAATCATGTCTCTAGACCAGCTGGTGGACGAGTCCGATCCTGATGTGGACTTCCCCAACTCCTTCCACGCCTTCCAGACGGCTGAGGGCATCCGCCAAGCACACCCAGACAAAGGTACCATACAGGGAGAGGGAGAGAGACAGAAACACACCCACTGTGTACAGTTACACACATAAATACATATCTGTGTTCCCTCCCAAGACTGGTTCCAGTTGGTGGGTCTGATCCATGATGTTGGGAAGATGATGGCTCTTTGGGACGAACCCCAGGTAGGAAACATGGTCTGGTATCACAGTTATCACAGCCTAAACTCTGAACATCAATGCTGAGGAATATGAGCTCACTTTCTACCTCAGGGTCACATTTTCAAATTTGCTTTCCCTCAAACTAAGGTTTTAATTTTGACTTTTTAGGGTGTTTTTGTGTTTCCAATACTCTCATTGATATTTCAGACCCCTCTTCAGTCCTCTTGTCTCTTTATATAAGGCATGCTTAACCTGTGTTTTGATAAGTCGTAATCATGATTACAATAACAACTTACATTTTTAATTTAATACTATATACATGATAAGATATTATGGTTTCTAACAATGTGTCTACAGGTATCACACACTTAATGTTTGTTTTTTTGTTTGTTTGTTCACCTTTTCAAGATGATTTTTAACCAAATTTAAGACTGATCTTTGGACAAATCGTCTTTTTTCTTTTTCAAGCACTGCAAGTAAGTATAAAGGTAAGTAGTATATATATGGTCCTGTGCAGAATATGATCATTAGATGAGCAGGTTTAATCTATATTTTGCCATCAGGTAACTGCAACTACAACATAAAAAGAAAGTGCTGTGTTAGGTTCAGTGGCAGTTTTATATGTGGCCTTTCACATAGGGCTGGGCAATATGTAGAAATTGAAACATAATAATATTTTTGACCAAATATCTCCATATTGATATTGTGACAATATCGTAGGGTTGACTGTTGGTGCTTTCACAAAATATTTACATGAGATTTTTTGATAAATAATCATCAGTAATGTGGATATAATGACTAAGTGGGTAAAGACAAATACTAGAACAGTCTGATAAGTTCAGAAAATGACAATGTTACTGTAATGAAGCTTTTAAAACCAGGAAAAGACAACTTTTACAGTATTATAATATCCAAAATCTAAGACGATATCTAGTCTCATGTCACAATATCAGTGTAATATCCTCATATTGCCCAGTGCTGCTTTCAAGCAAAAGAGCTTGACTCATTTTGACAAAAAAAGGTAACACTGTATTTACAGATACAGATAATTTATAGATATACAATAGTATTTGTAATATTTCAACAGCTTATTAGTAGAGATCACTTCAACTGTTTCACTTTGTGTGTAGATATTTATCCATGGAGTATATGTGACAATTCACGACAAGTTCTCAGAATAACTTAGTTAAACTTGAACTACTCACTCAACCTATGCTGCATAGATCGAGTTAATAGTTCAACAAAATTATTTTGTTTATGAATCATTATGCTGTAGATCTGGGGTGTCAAACTCATTTTAGTTCATGGGCTACATAAAGCTCAGTCTGATCTCAATTTTTCTTTTTTAATTTTATAAACTTTATTAATCCCTTATGGATTTGAGTTACTGCAGCCCCTAAAGTACTGGTTCCACTGGGTTTCGAACCCAGGACCTTCTGCGTGTAAAGCAGACGTGATAACCTCTACACTATGGAACCACATGCAAGTGGATCAGACTAGTAAAAGCACTGCAAAATAACCTGCAAATGATAAAGCTTTCAAATTTGTCCCTCTCTTTTAGTTTAAAGAAGTAAAGTTACAGGTAGCTGACATCCTGAAAACATTAACAAATCAACGAAGAATCCATTTTTAAAACAAATGATGAACAGCCTGAGATGACGGCCGTCAGATCTCTCGGCTAAAACTAAAACCAGACGTATGTTTCCTTAAACCTGCCAGTAATTAATATATCTTCTCTGTTTGTAGTTGTCCTTGCAATTCGTTGTATTTTCCGCCATATTGAGTTTGACAGTGGTGCTGAATATATTCCTTGAGCACTGAAAGGTGCTGTGAGCCTACCAAGCACACTGGCTTCCCATTTACCTCTGTGAAGAAATAGGAACTGGTTTATTTGGACAAATAGGAATAGCAGTGCATTAAACTTTAGATAATCTGTTAAACATCTACAGAATAAAGCATAATGGTTGAATTGTCAAATCTCAGCTAATAAGCTCTTTAAATGGTACAAATTCATATGAGGGTAGGTAGGTGGACTATCCAGATAAAGTCTTACCAAAAAAAATAGCAGATAGACAAAATCGATCAACTTTATTCACTGATTTTTAAAGTCTAATATTTATAAAATTGAATTTAAAGGCATCAATGACCTGCAGTTACCCTGTCTGATATCAAACTTTTTCAATATGTGCTCTGCAGTGGGCTGTAGTGGGTGACACCTTCCCAGTGGGTTGCAAGTTTCAAAACTCCATTGTGTTCAGAGACAACACCTTCCTGAATAATCCAGATGATAAAAACCCCAGCTACAAGTTGGTATTATCGTACTACTAACATACTACTACTACTTCTACTACCACTACTACTGCTAAGTCTGTTTGCCTTCAAAACATTCTGTTAAAGGAGCAGTGTGTAGGATTTAGTGGCATCTAGAGGTGAGGATTTCAGATTGCAACCAGTTGAAATTAAACTTCAGTGAGCCAAGCATGAACTCCTGGTTAGGATTCCTTCATTGTTCAGGAGGTTTTACAGGGACCTAAATTATCTGCAAACGTCTCTTCCTCTCTAAAACAAATGAACCAGGTGATTTAATCCAGTAAAAAAACACAGAATAAAGCAGTTTCACATTACAAATCAGTGTTTCTCCGATGCCAACATTAAAAAGGCAAATGGCCCTATCTAGAGCCAGTGTTTGGTTTGTCCATCCTGGGCTACCATAGAGACATGGCGGACTCTTTGGACGAGGTCCTGCTCCCTATGTAGCTATAAACGGCTAATTTTAGGTAACAAAAACATAACAATTCTTAATTTCAGGTGATTACACACTAAAGAAAACACTTATATTCAATTTCTGGCAATATATCCCCCTAAATCCTACACACTGGACCTTTAAATTTACCTGTCCCAAATATGTTTTAGTCCATAATTCATCAGTTTTAATAAAAGTCCCCTGCTCTAACATTCCTGTTTATTTCAGTACTAAGATTATTGACACCTATAGGCTATTTGGCTGATGTACTGGGAATTTATCTGGTTACATAATGACTTTTTCCCCATCTTTAGCACTGAGTACGGCATCTATGAATCAAACTGTGGGCTTGACAAAGTCTTCATGTCCTGGGGTCATGATGGTAAGAGATGGCATCATGTTCAGCCACAAACAACCACTATGACTTTTAAAAGAAGCAAATGCTTACTGCCATTTAAGTGCCTTGTTATCTACGATACTGCGGCTAAACTCTTGCGTTGTCGTCTTCAGAGTATCTCTACAGAGTCATGAAGTTCAACAACAGCTCCATCCCAGAGGAGGTCAGAAAATCATTATTAAATGACTGTTATATTTGCAAAGCAAAAAAGGCGCCATTCTGTTCTCTCCTTACCTGCAGTGCTCACAGTTATGGCTCTTCTCTTTTTGTGTCTCTCCTCAGGGCTTGTACATGATACGCTTCCACTCATTCTACCCCTGGCACTCCCACGATGACTACATGCACCTGTGTAATGACAAAGACCTGCGCATGCTGCCCTGGGTCCGAGAGTTCAAGTGAGCATCTTCCTCTCTCACGTGCAAGTTATTTATCCTGCTCGCTGCTTTGAACCTGATGCTGCATCTTCCGTCCTTTCCACAGCAAATTTGACCTGTACACAAAGACCTCCGAGCTGCCTGACGTCGACAAGCTGAAGCCGTACTACCAGTCTCTCATCGACAAGTACTGTCCTGGAATACTGAAGTGGTGAAACAGACACTGAATTCAGCAGCAACACTATAAAGACACAGAGTGATTACATGATGTTGAGTACCTCAGAATGATTTGTGTTGGTGCTTTATAATAACACTAAAGCTGAATTTACTATCTCCTGTACGCACATATTACTTATTATACTGATTGTATACTGACATTTCAAGCTATCAAAACAACATATGAATCATGATTGTTACACCTTTTCAGATAAGAATTGACAGAGAAGCATTTCTATTTTATTGTACTTTAATATGTGATTTTAAAAAAACATTTAAAAAAATTTCTACACCAAACTGTGTGAAGTTTCATTTCTAACATCGACAGAAACAAAAGACGCGTGAAAAAAGTGCAGAAATGTTTTAGTTCAGTACATACAGTAAGAGCCAAGAGACCACAGTAACAAAAATAAAATACCACAAGCGCACACACACAGACACACACACACATCTGTATTTACGTACAAGTGCAACAGCGCACAACACAAACAGGGCACACAGTGTAACATATTTACTCTCTTAATAGGCAGAACTTTTTTTTTTAAACATGATTTGATCTGCGTGACCAGATTTCACTCCGAATGTTCAACGTAAGTCAGAAGCAGCCAGGGAGGTTTTACAATTCCTAAACATCTGGCAAGACCTGCTGAATTTAAGGCATGTTATGCAGGATTTGTCACAACATTCAGACTTGGCCCCTCATCCTCAGCTCATCGAGACTGAGAGAGCAGCGGTGGTTAAATTAGCTAAAGAGTGAATAAAGAGGGAGCAGCCTTACCGAGAACAAAGCAGTGAATCAGAGGAACCATATTTTCTTCATATTTCACGGTGGTTGCGTTCTGAAGCACAAATACACACACCAAAACTTCTGCACAGCCCTGCAGGAAGGTGCTGCTTTGCTGGATTTGTGTGAATGTCTGCTTGACTTCTCTGCTCTGCTCTGTGCGTGTGGTTCAACCTCGCCCTCGATTAAACAGCAACACAGACCTGCAGCTTGCCTCCACAGAGCAGAGGAGAGAGGTGGAGACAGCAGTGTGACCTGGTCGCTTTGTTTTAGTAGCGTCCCAATCTTGCGCCGCTGTTGACTGGGGCTACACACCACTACCCAAAGGCTGACACCAAGAAACGTCCCGACCAAACCAAAGTAAGAGGAATAAAGAAAATAAAGGCGGAGGGCAGGTTCTCTGCAGATACAGACACTGCCAAACACTGCTAGTGGGTCATAAGTGATGATTGAGAGGGATTACTTTTGCATGAGTCGACATACTGTTTTGTTTAGTTTGTCTTTTTTGGTAAATCCTGCATAGTGTACCTTTAAGCTGTTGGTTTCTGATGTAGGCAACTGTCATATGAAACACGTAGTGCAGTAAGGTGTAGGTGGGAGAAGGCAAAGACCGATTTTTCCATGATTGATCAGGAATTACAGATATACAAACGTCTTTGGTCATTGTGGAAACACTTTATGAAGGCAGGTGGTGAAAACAGTCTGCTATGGGTTTACCTGCAACTTTTGAAAACTTCCTCTGTACAAATCCTCCTCTTGTGCCTAGTCCTCCTCCTCGTCACCAATAGTCTCTTTCTCCTCTCCTTCACCCTCCTCCACCTCATCCTCACTGCCCTCTCCCTCCCCCTCCTCCTCTACCTCTTCATCCACTGCCTGCTCTTTATCTAACTTCCCATCATGGTCTAAAGACTCGTCAGGTTGATTTTCTGTGTGATCCTTCTCAGCCGCATTATGAGGGTTTGGGGTCCTTTCTCTGTGTTTGTGCCTGTTCTGCAATCCCTGGAGCAGACACACGGCGGCGCTACAGGCAATGAGGGTCCAGATTAGTACGTGGGGAGGAACACCTTTGACCTGAGAGCGCACCCACCTCACCGACTGGGCAACAGTGGTGTTGGAGATGCGACGTGAAGGCAATTTGTCCTACAGATAATGAAAGATGAATATTAATCAATATTCAGTAGATTAAAGAATGAAAAGGGACATTTCCTATGCACACCCTTCTTCTGTTCATTGAAACTTATTAAAATTTTCTGGTACAGGACATAAATCCTCCATACCAAGCTCTCCAACTACAACAAGCAGAACACACACCAAAACAATAACAGAAGATACACATTTTAGACAACAATTATACCTATTACTATTAAATATTATTAGTATTTCAAAAGTGGATCACACACTCTGCTGTGATATCACGTATCCTCTTGTTTTCCATTATTTCTAATGACATGTTTTTGAGATAAATGTACCTTGAGTCCATACTGGGTAAGCATGCTCTCCAGGAAGGTGTTGCCCAGGTGCACTGTGGGATAGAATTCCTCATCATAGACCCTCCTCCACCACCGCTCTGGGAAGGAACTGCCAACAAAGACCAGCCAAACAGTAAATATCCTGATGTTTTAAGGACGTATATTTGCACAGGACTTCAAAATGCCCACCTAAACTTGCTTAACTAAAATGTATTTTTAAAATGGTGAAAAAACTGATGAAAATGTAACAAATCATGACAGTTGCTGTGCGGAGTTTGCATGTTCACCCTGCGTCAATGTGGGTTTTCTCCAGGTGCTCTAGCTTCCTCCCACAGTCCAAAGACATGCAGGTTAACTGGTGACTCTAAATTGTCCGTAGGTGTGAATGTGAGTGTGAATGGTTGTCTGTCTCTATGTGTCAGCCCTGTGATAGTCTGGTGACCTGTCCAGGGTGTACCCTGCCTCTCACCCAGTGTCAGCTGGGATAGGTTACAGCCCCCCATGGCCCCTAACAGGATAAGTGGTTACATAAAATGAATGAATGAATGAATGAATGAATGATAGTAGCTGTTTACTGAGTTACTGAATAAATACTGAGTGATTATCTTTCAGCGCACATGTTGCCTCAAAGCCAAGAATATTCTGACATCTTCAGTGTCTGTGAACATATTGAGACAGAGAAAGAGAGCACTGACCCATCAGGCTTCGGTTCAGTAAACCAGTATCTGTAGCGGTGGGCTCGCAGGTAGGCAGGGGGCTGCTTGTGGAACGGATACTGTGACACATCGGTCTGGATCAGCTCTATCACTGCAGAATATAAAACAAAGCTTTCAGAGATCTGCTTGTCCTTAAATAACAACAACAACAACGAAAACATTGCCTTCTTCTCAATAATAATTTAACACTGAATCATTGAGGGAACAGAACATTTTCTGCACTGTGCTTTACAGGTTGAAACATTTCAGGATCTGTAGCCCGGTCCTAAATTGTGACAAGATTGGCTGAGCATTTTACACATTAAAAAGTTCCACTGAGGTTTTTGAATGAAGCTTTCAATATCTGCCATCATTTATTATAACATCATCACCCTAAAAACAACAACAAAAAACCCTCAAACATCCTCAATTTGAATTAAGTGATTTGTGGGATTATACAAGTTAGTGTTTTTACTATAATAGTGTTAGAGCTTTTTTATTGTTGGTTATATAAATGTAAGGTGAGTGCCTCCCTTTGTGGGAGAGCAAACAGTGACCAACAACCACACTGAAAAAGTTGTCTTTAAAAGGCTTAATGCTAACACATATGGATTGAAGCAGAACGTTTTGTCAGACAAAAACATGTTGTGAATTTTAAAAGATGATTACATCTACATTTTTTTTTTTGATAAATTTTAACTTTTCAACAACACTATTAGGTTATTGAAATATTTGGATCACATGAGTTGAAAACAGACCCATGCAGCCACCACTGGAATTGAATTCTACAAATAGTTTACTACTAACAACTAGGCAGAAATAATAGGTTTAAACAGAATAAACAGACTTGAATGTCAACTTTATGAATGACGCTTCAAAGCATTTGATACAGCCCTATAATTACTGTAAACTCTTACTGTGTTTTCAATCAGTAAAAGCAGCACAGCAGTGCATGCATTGGTGTCTTTCTGAATGGTACCACTAGGGGGCACCAAAGATGTTTCAGATTCTACACACACATGGCTTCATTAGTACAAACAGTGAGAAACAGCCATTTAGTTCCTGACCAGAAAATAGTATAACGCAATGATCCCAGGGCAGAATTATCTTTTAATCGCTCAGTCAGTGACGTCACAGAGGGTCTTTTCAATAAGCTGACAATGGAAAAGCAACTGATCTCACTTTATTGTTTGTGTGTGTTGAGAAGTGAAACATCCTTTAAAGTTTCAACCAATAAAAAGCAGTGCAGAAGTTATTTTCTGCCCCACTTGATTCTGTATTTAATTGCAACCTAAGGAGATAAAATAGTGAAATAAAACACAGTAACAAAATTAACTGTAGCACTGAGGGTTCTTACCATCTCTTTTGCCCTGCAGCAGTCTGTACATGAGGCTAGTGAACCACGGAGCCTGTGTGTGAGCCCCGAGGGCTGCGAACCACATTTGCCAGTCCAACCTGGGCTGGTGAGGCGTCACCAAGGCAGGAGACGCACTCATGTTGCCTGGCTTGTACATAAACTCAATCTCCTAAAAGAAGAAAACAAATGGGAATGAATTACAGCGTGTCAGGACAGTCTGCATTATTATAAGAAAATTGTTCATTACTGTCTCCACAGTATTATTGTACAGTTAGAGATTGTGCAAACAGGGAGCATCTAATACAGCACATTTACATAAAATATAGCAGTGCAGATCCTGTTTAAACCATCATCCATGATAACTTTTTTCTCTCACCGTCCACGAGACTCCATCGTTGCTCCCCTCGATGACGACCTCTGGCCGCCCACCGACCCCAGTCATCCTTCTGAACAGGCCGTATGAGTTGGCCAGCTGGAAGCGATCCGACAGCTCATAGGCACGACGCACTCCCGGCCACAACCTGGCATTGGAGTCATACTCTATGTAGGTGAACGGCACCTGGAACAGACGAACAAAGAATCTAAATGATAGTGACCAGGTTTCAAGAAATATTGCATCAGTGAGGAGGGCATGACACATAAACTTAAACTTAATGATGCGTTTCTAATGGCACCCACCAGACTGACAGTGAACATAGCAGCGGTGGCGGCAGCAAACAGAGTCCACTGGACTGTTCCAAAAAACCTCTTCAGGAAACCAGAGACACATGCACACCTAGAAAAACACATTACATACGTTATCTTCACACAACATGCAACACAGAAATGCAAAAAACGACATAATCAAGCACACACAGAAACACACACACACACACGGAGAGTCCTACCTGAACATGGCTTTGACCATCTCCCAGGTGAGAGAGAGGACACCGATCCAGATACAGGGGATAGTGACAGTCTTTAGAAACTGGTTGAACTGGTGGTATGTGAAA